ATTCAACTTCTCCCTAAACACTAATTTAAGCATAAATTTGATGATGTCAATACATTAATCATTACCTCGTGATGAAAACAAAAAAAAAATAAATAAATAAAAAAGGAACCTGCAAAACTAGAAATCGTTTATGATCCAAATCGATCCCCCTTTCTTTATAGACTTGTAACTTCATTGTAATTACTTTGTTGCCCATTTATGAAATACTTGCATTATTGCGAAAAGCTTGACGCGAGATAATCAATTGAGATGAAGGTAGAATCTCATAATTATACGAACCAGGCCATAATATTATTAAACATCATGCGTTATTATTATTTTAAGTGAAATTTTTTTTTTGGAAATTAAAACTTTATTATTTTGTTTCTTTACCAAGTCAAGAATTTCCTCAAAATATACATCAACTCTGCAAGCATCCAGATTTTCACTTTCCTATAATGATCGAAATAAGTTCTGATAATATGGCTTGCCTCCTTTTATTTGCTCGATAACCAAATACAAATAAAAGTGCATATAACATTTGATTTCCCCAACCATTTGAACTGACGACAGCAGAAAATGACTTTTAAAATTAAATTTTAATGATTAAAGAGAATCTCGTGTTGTAAAAAGCTCCAAGAAAACAAATATACCGTATCCTATACCTTATGAAACGGACCTTTCCTGTTTACCAAAATATGACAAAATTATTGAAGATCATTTTACTGATAACAAAACGCTTTTTAGGTTCTAGAACAGAAACATTGTCAATAGAAAACTCTAGGTGAGCTGATGTCATGTAATTATAGATTTAAACGTGGACGCGCGTCAGACACGACTAGAAGGGTGAGAGAGAAAGTCCGGTCACGTATATGTGAGCCGGCAATTAAATCCGGCTACAATTTTCCAGGTGACGCGATGTCCATGTGACTAGGGATGTTCGACCAGTTCCGATCGGTTTGATGTTGGTAGACCGGTTTGAAACTGGAGTCTAGAATAAAATCTAAGATATAATATCTGAGAAAATTATTGTTATAATTTAAAATTAATATTTATTAAATAAATATATATCATATATTAATAAAAAAAATATATATATAAAATAAAATTTAAAAAATTATATTTACCTAAATATAAATTTTAGAATTGCAATTTTTAGTGATTAAGGTAGCATAGTGTTACAAAACTTTTTTTAATTTGTTATAATGAATTAATTTAATAATATAAAAATTGTTACATAATAATAAAATTTAAATATTTTATATAAATAAAAAAAATTTATTATTTCAATTATAATAAAACTTAGATATTAATCAACTTTTTTCTATTATTTGATAAAATATGCTATATGTTAGGATTATTATTCTGTTAGAAATAATCATTTTTCTTATCTATTCTATATTATTCAATAATTTTTAATAGTCTTTCTTTAAAATGTAGCAATATAAATCATATTTATATAAGATATAAAATACAGTCAACTCTTATTATAATGAATTCTATGTTTTAGACTTTAACTTCACTATAAGTTAGTGAAGATTTTAAGAAATTTGATTGGCCAATTCGCTATAATAAGAGTATTTTTATTATATTTGTTCAAAAAATTTGTAATATCAAGAGTTCATTATATTAAGTGTTAACTGTATTTTATATTA